TGAAAATCTACAATAGAAAAATAAAAAAAGTGAATAGAATTAGAAGCCAATAGAATAAACATAGTAAAGTGACAACCTTGAGTATAATATATAAAATATATTATATAATATACTTTAAATTATATAGTACCAGCTACATGTAGCCGCAACTATATATAAATTTTTCCTAAAAAATTATACATAATTTTTAAATTTTAATATCTCGATGAGTTTTTAACTAATTTTAATAATTTTATTACTGATAAAATCACAAGAACCTACTCTACAACTTTATTTAGAAGTTTAATTAATAAATTATTTTGTATTTTAAATTGCAAAAAATATTTGTTATCAAATTTATATATAATTTTAAGAATATTGATAACTATAACTAGTGATGATCATCACCAGTATATAATTAGTCAATAACTTTGCAGGATCAGATGTAACGTGTTGTGTAATAAAAACAAAAAAAATTTTTAAAAAAATGCTAATATCTCAAGAATTCGCCTATGAAACCACCTTTGACGTTCTAACAAAAAAAATTCCTTGCTAAAATTTGCATATATATAACACCTTGTTAAAATCTTAGGCCTCGCCCTAACTCTAAAGTTAATGAAATGAAATCTTTTTATTGTTTTATCGTTATTGGCTAATTATACACTGGTGATGATCACCACCAGTGTTGGCCATTTTATGTCATATCCAACTTTATATGACCAAGGAGGTCATAATGTATTAGTAAATTTTATAAGTCATAATAGGTCATAAGGTCATAACCTATAATTGGCAATAGGTCATAACAGGTCATAGGCCAACACTGATCACCACTGGTTATTTAAAGTTAAATTCTAATTTTAAAATAGTACACTCTACCCTTAATTTTAACGCTAACCTCTAATGCTTAAATGTAAATCATGCGATTGCTGACTTTTGTTACTCTAGAACATCTTTTTTTTTAAAAAAAACAATGATGTAAAATATGAATAATTATGACGAATGCTACAAAGTTTCTTATAAAAGAATTCACATAGTGTACGAACATTGAATGAAAATTTTGAATCTGCAATTTTGAGTATCGTTATGACTGATTCAAGAGAACCACAAAAACCAGTAGAATCTCACCCACCTAAAATTGGTGATGAAAACAGTAAAAAATTAAAGGATATCGAGAATATTGAAAATAAACGTCCCTCGGAAATTAATAGTATTGAAGTGGGTGCACGAACTGGTAAAATCTATTTTATCCTTGTATAAGAAATGTAAAATTTTACGTGCTTATGCTGAAAAAAAAAATAGTTGCACATGTAGATGAATACGTCATGATGGCTATGCCAGAACTTTTGGAGACAAACAAACGTAAATTCGAAACAACACGTTCTAACAGTTCTTAAGCTGATTGTGGTATTTAATACAGAAAAAATTATTTATAATTATAATACTACGTATGAGGATTATCGTATACGTAAAGCAAAAGCACTTTCCAAATCATAATATTATAATTCTAAATTAGGTTTAATAAAATGTGGCATTTATTTTTATATTATTTTTTTTTTTGTAAAACATGATAATATCATATTGCAAATAAAATAAAATAATAAATATGTTATGTATTTATCAATTAAGTTCTTCAATTATTTGCTTTAACGTACGTTAACAAACAAGGCAACTATTCTTTGTCGATGTTTTTAAGCTACGTATTTACGATGCATCATACGATACTACGATACGTTATGCGAATCATGTGATAAGAGAAAACTAGACTTCAGTTTACAAGTTTATGTTTAGTTCGGGAAATTGTAATTTTAAAGCCCGAAATCTGGTTCACTCATATATATATATATATATATGAGGAGAAAACGTTTTTATTTACCATCTAGTCCTTGATCCTTGAAAAGCTAATATTACACGATGAATTACAATAATTATAGATCGAATATATTTAATATTTCGGATAGTAATAGATTTTCAAACAATAATCTCGATTTGTGCGAGGGACATCCTTCAAATGATTCGCCTTCTGAAGATAACGATACTTTTAATAAAAAATTTACTGCCATTAAAGACTTGACGGAAAACCTGATAGGTAAATAAATAATACTAATTATTAAATAATTATTTATTGTTTTTTTTTTATATTATAAATAGGCAAAGTAGTATCGATCCGCGGCGCAGTAACATACTCGTCTGGGATAAAATTATATGCAACAGAAATCACTTTTACATGTATGGAATGTAATGTCAGTCAAACATTGGAATTTAATGGGGGAAAATATTATTTTCCATTCAAGTGTAAAACTTGGGGATGTAAAAGCAAAGTGTTTACTCCCATACTAAATTATGATGATGAAAATAAAAAAGAATTTGCTGATTGGCAAATTATTAAGTAAGTCTGCTATTATTCAAAGGATGTAAAAAAATATAATGTTAAATCAATATTGTTGAATGTAACCTCTCTAAAAATTTATCTATTAAATGGTAAAGGCTTCAAGAAGTATGGGATGGTTATGGGGATGCTGTTGTTCTTCCAATGACTATTGATTGCGAATTACGTGGCCATTTTGTGGATGTTGCCAAACCAGGTGACTTTGTTTCTGTCACTGGTAAACTAGATGTTCATGAAATTCCAGGTAACGTACAGTTACTTTAGTATTACTTCATCTATTATGGTATTCGTTTATTTAATTAATCTATTTTTTTTTTCTTTATTTGTCAGTCAATGAAAAGACAAAGGGTTCTATGATGCATAATCTTTATATTGACGTTATTGACATTGAGAAAATCTTGATTTTTGATAACTTTTCACGTGACTGTCGCGAAAACCTTACGAACCCTGAGGATAATTATTTTTCGTTGGATGATTTTTTCAAAATAAAATATCTCATTGACTTCCAATCAGATGACCTTTTCAAGGTATTTTTTAAATTTTAAAAGTTAAAAATTATTGAATCTATAAATCAATATTTAATTCTTCAATATAACAGAAAATTGTTAATTCATTCTGTCCGAATGTTTATGGTCATGAGATTGTTAAAGGTAAGAATAATCATTATATTAAAGAAGGATTTTTGTATTTACTAATTTGTGATATCGTAGCCGGGATTTTATTAGCTATATTTGGTGGAAATGATAATAGCGTAGTTAATGTCTTAATTGTTGGTTTGTATAAAGTGTTATCATAAGTTATTTTGTAATTTTATATCGCGATAACTATATCGATAACTTACCGGTAATAAAAAAGGCGATCCGGGGACGGATAAAACTGACCTTCTAGATGCTGCAAACAAAGTAGCTCCACATACTGTATTTACACCAATAACCCAAGCCGGTTCTCCGGTAATGCCGTTATTGCATTATGATAGACGATCTGGAGACTTAATTCTTGAAGCTGGTTGGTTAAATTGCATATAACGATAACCTTAGTGCTGTAATGACAGTATATATTGTGATAAACTATTGAAAATAAAATTCTTATGTCATAGGGTCTTTTATATTAAGCAATACGGGTATTTGTCGAATTGATGATTTTGAAAAGATAGAAAATCCTAATGCTCTTGCGGAAGCAATGTCTAGACAGATTATCACGTAAGCAGTTGATTCTGGTTGTCGCTCAATTCCCCGAAAACTACTTACCCGACAGTCCATTACCTGATATCACATAGAGTGACAATTTAGCATTTAATTAGCTATAGGTATATTTTATTAGTAAATTTTCACCTAATGTGATGTCGGGTAAATAGTTTTCGGGGAATCGTACCGTAACCGTTGATTCTCGCTTTTATATGATACAGTATATCAATAATTACTAATTAATTATTTAATTATTTATTATTAGGATTTGCAAAACCGGTGTAACATGTTCTTTAACTGCTCAAACTAGTGTAATGTGAATATCATATGAAGTTTATTAAAATCGCTATCGCTATTAATAACATGACTTCGAACTACTTAGAGCGTCGGCCAATCCGATCGGTGGACATTACAAGTAAAAATTCCCATTTTATAATGTGATCTAATAAATTTAACAATATAAATTATATATTAATACTATAATATATTAATAATAATTCAGCAAAGCTAAATATTTATCAGAGAATCTTAAAATTGGAAATGATCTTTTATCAAATTTTGATCTCTTCTTTTTATTGTTGGATGTTCCAGATGAAGAGATGGATCATTATCTCTCTGAACGCGTCATGACGGTCGTTATTGAAATTATTATTATTATTATTATTTTATGATATATAATAGGATTTACATATTTTTGCTCTTATAGGTTCATTCAGGTGTTCACCCCGAAGACAAATTTGATAAATCACAGAGATACGGTAATATATATAATATACGTCGTTACATAATGATATAATGCGTATGGGTCCGTATCATTTCACCGACAATCATTTCATCGACAGCTCATTTAGCCGACATCACGCCAAGTGACAATTTACTAAAAATATATAATAAAACCCTAACCCTAAACCCATGTGATGTCGGCTAAATAAACTTTCGGTGAAATGACTGTCGGTGAAGTGAGCGGCACCGATGCGGATACCGAATAATTGATTTAGAGGTTTATTTCAAGATTGTTTTTCACATGACATATCTTTTTGCAAAGCGCAATAATTGCCATTAATTGATTACAAATTTATTTTTTATGATCTTTGATGAGTATCGGATGTTATAGGAAGAAATTATTATTTATTAATAATCCAAAAATTGATAGTTCCTTCAATTAGCGACATAAACAGAAGTCATTTTGTTGGTATCCTACCATTATCTAAACGGTTAAAAATTGGCACAGGGGATAAGAACGTGCTACCTATACCACTTTTACAAAAATACATTGCATACGCACGTAAATATGTTTATCCACGGTAAGTATCATAATTTAAAATTTATGTAATATGTAATTATTTTTTATATTCTAAAAATTTATTGATTCTAAATATTAATCCTAAATATTACTGTAATAATAACTAATTACCCTTTTAAGTCTTTCACAAGAAGCACGTGAAATGATCAAAATATTCTTTGGGAATATGGGACATAAATATCAATTTGTGGATGGAACACCGATAACAATACGACAATTAGAAACAATGATTCTATTATCGCAAGCCAGGGCCCGAATGGAATTGAGAGATGTCGTAATTAGTAAAGATGTTGAAGATGTTGCGGAAATAATGTAATATTAAATAGACATATTGTAATTATAATTAAATTTATTCATTTATTAATATAATTAAATTTATTATAGGGAATTTTGTCTCTTTAGAATTCAAAGAGATGAATTTGGAAATATACGATCTAAAACAAGAACAAAAACTGGTAAAATTACAGATACAAAAGTATTATTTGCTTATCATTTGCATAATATGATAACTTATTATTAATTGTTTTATTTAGCTATGAGATCCGGGAAGCAAACAGATGTAAAGAGGTAATTTAGTATTGCATTTGTTGTACTTTAAATAATTTTTACATTATTTTATTATTTATTTTTTTCAAACAGATTTTTAAATGAGCTTCAAAGGCTTGGAAATGTAAAAGGAAGCTACGTATTTACTATTCAAGAAATGCAACAAATTGCCATAGGTAATTATACTATCAATAAGTAATTCATCTTTTTACCTAACAAATTACAAAATCATTTATTTCTTATATCAGATTCAAATGTTCGATATGATAATTTTCAATCTTTTATCGATTTATTGAATAATCAAAATTTGATTTTAAAGAAAGGGCCAGGAACTTTTCAGTTGAGACCGTGAACCCTTTAACATCAAATTAGTTATTATAAAGGTATTAGAGTCTTATAATTACTCTTGATACAGTATAATAAAAATGGAAGATAGAGTGTACATTAATGTTCTTAGTAAAATCTCGAAGCATGTCTTTAATGTTATGATTTTTATAAATGCTAAAATATCACAAAATTCATGTGATAAACCCGAATTATTAAAACCTCTATAAAACTTCCGGTAAGTAGGGTGGAGGGCACGAAGGTCTTGGGCATGCCTTTAAGATATAGAGCATGCCCTTCTCATATAATTAATAAAAAGATGCAATATCGATATATAACGATCTCAATTAACCAACCAGAATATAAGATTAAATATAAGAAATTGTAACAAATATTGTATTATAATTAGTAACAAATTACCTATGCTATTGCAATTAAGACTCTTTAAATATATAATCAATAAACATTAAACATTGAATTAATTTATATATGAATTTACGATATTAAACTAATCAATGTTCTTTATACTTGAAATTGTACTTCCTAAGTTTTTATAAGCTTTTACTCCAAAGATAAATTATATACCTTATCGGATCTTTAAATGCTTTTACTAATGACTCTGTATCCTGCCATTTTATATACAATCTAGATAATATGATCTGATCCAGAAGATTGAAAAAAGCAACGTTATATTCAAAGATTGCTCGGATTGGTTAGTATTAACTGCTTATATATAACGATAGCATTGATTAGTTGGACCCTATCTACGGGGGCATGCCCGGGTGCCTCTAGTTCAAGGCATGCCTATAAATTTTCCCGTACCATCCACCCTACCGGTAAGCCACGTAATAACCTATTTATTAGGATGTTGCCCTTAAATTTTCTGATCAAAAAACGAACCTATACGATTTGCGATCACAAAAAAGTTAATGGTAACTATTTAATTTAAACAACATAACGTAGTTGACTTTTTTTATAAAAAAAAAGTTTTTGGATTTTAATATTTTAAATAAATAGATATCTAACAAAACAGTTTTGCTTTTTAGAGATTAAAAAAGTACTTTAGACGTTTAAGCTTGGTAATAGAAAATCTAGGTTTAATGAATGTAGAATTACTTGGTTCTTGAGTTTGTTACCCATAGATAAGAGTTTGAATTTATAAAATTTATTGTAATTTGGTTTGTTAGGTACAAAGAACTTGATGATATATATTAAATAAAAGAAATATTATATTCATAACACCTATGTTATATAACATCTTATATATAATAATTATGTTTATTGCACGGGTCTTATGTGACAACCCGTGCTTTTTTCATTTACTTATTGGCACGGGATTGTTACGTCAGACACC